TGGTAGCATAGTGCCTAAGGCACTTGACTGCTAACCAGAAGGCTGGCGGTTCAAACCCACCAGCCACTCCTCGGAAGGAAGGTTGGGCAATCCTACTTTCGTAGTGATACTGCCTCGGAAACCCAAGGAGGGGTCGCTATGAGTTGGGGCTGACTCGACAGCAAATAACAACAACAACAACAATCAGTCTCTTAAAGCTAAAGAGGGATTCTTTCCCTAGAACGGTTTACTTCTTCATACCGTTTTTTAAAAGTAGTAACCAAAACCAAACTCACTGCCATTGAGTCGTATCCGACTAGTAGCAACCCCTCCTTGGGTTTCTGTGGTGGTATCTCTATGGAAGTAGTCTGCCCGGTCTTCCTTCTGAGGAGTGGCTGGTGGGTTTGAACCACCAGCCTTCTGGTTAGCAATCAAATGCCTTAGGGACTATGCCACCAGAGCTCCTTTTAAAAGTAGTATTGGTATATAAATAAATCACATATTATATATAAAGCTGATAATTTGCATATGGATAACTTACAGGGATTTCAAGTTTATGGTGGGAAAAGCAGGCAATGATTGTGAGGATAGTGCAGGATCAGGTAGTGTTTCATTCTGTTTTATGTAGGGTTGCTTTGAGTTGGAACAGACTTGGTGGCTCTTAATAACAGCATTGCTATGTTATCTATAAATAGTGGCTAAGACACTTGCCTGCTAACCGGACGGCTGGTGGTTCAAACCCACCAGCCACTCCTCGGAAGGAAGGTTGGGCAATCCTACTTTCATAGTGATACTGCCTCGGAAACCCAAGGAGGGGTCGCTATGAGTCGGGTTTGACTCGACGGCACATAACAACAACAACATGTTATCTATACCCTAGCTACTTAAAGTGTGGCTCCTGGACCAGAAGCATCAGTATCATCTGGGAGCTTGTTAGAAATGCAGCCTTTTTCTTCACCTCGGACCCACTGAATCTGAACCTGCATTTTAAGAAGATCCCTAGGTGATGTGTTTGCACATTAATGTTTGAGAAGTCCTGACTTAGGAGATACCAAATCCGATGGCTCCCTCTTGTCTTACTTGTTTTTCAGGCCATTGAAAGCTTGGTAGAAAGTCACATCATCCCACTCGATGGTGGCGATCTCGTTGTTGCTCATCCCAGCAAAGGCATAGATGAGGTGAGTACAGAGGCAGGGGTCGATGTTGTCAGGCTTAAAGCGCCCCAGGCCTGGCCGGTACTGGGCCCAGTTGGTGAAGTAGCATGTCAGCTGGTAGGCAGAACCTGTGGAGAGTAAGGAGTAATGACAGTGGCCCGATTCAGGTATGACTGCAATATTCTGCAAATTTTAGCCCTGCCTCTGTTCCCCTTCCTACGCCTCAGGTGTCTGGTCTCTGTGCAGGAGTGGTTAGTATAAATGGTCTTGCAGATAAATCCTAAGATTTTAACTTGAAGGCTGGTCAATGACCTGGGATTGATTATTTTTAATTTTGACAGATTCATTTTGAGATCTTGGATAAGCCTAGGAGCCTTCTGGGAAAAGATGCCAAATAGTCTTATGAAGGGAGCTCTAGTGGCATAGTACCTAAGGCACTTGACTGCTAACCAGAAGGCTGGTGGTTCAAACCCACCAGCCACTCCTTGGAAGGAAGGTCGGGCAATCTACTTCCGTAGTGATACTGCCTCAGAAACCCAAGAAGGGGTCGCTATGAGTCAGGGCCAACTTGATGGCACATAACACGACAACCACAGTCTTATGAAGCTCAATAAACACAGGTTTATGACTCTCAGGTGGTCATACTGAAGAGGACATCAGTGACACCCAATCCAAAACATAGATTCTGCCAAAGTTAAAACTTTCTTTTACTGGTGTGGTTTATCTCTTGATACGTTTCTTTCACAAATAATATTGGAATATAAATCAATCTCATATAATATATAAAGCAGAGATTTTTCATATAAATAATTTATAGGAGTTTGAGGTTTTTTGGTAGAAAAAGATTATGTCAAAGGTGAAATATAGAGCCCGTGACTTACCCAGCTGAGCATTCAGCAGAAGGGCCAGACCTAGAGAGAAAGAAAAAGCATAAACTCTGCATCAGTTGTCCATATCCAGGAGTAGAATCTAATTCTGAGACCTTTGGTGCCATTCTATTTGGCCTAGATTGTTACAATCCAGTCGCACTTTGGGTTATGCCTTCCATTTGTAAAAAATGAGCATTCTGTTCTTCCACCTTGCATGTAGAAAGAAATGTTATTGATGGAGAGTCAGAAGTCAGAAGTCTACCATTTATGGAAGTTCTACTTACTGAAATTACCCCAAATTCCCTCTACTCATGACTACACATCCATCCATCCTTCACTTCCTTGAACAAGGTAGAGCTCAACCTTCCAATAGATAAGCATTATCTAAAACAATCAATTGAGTATCTCCTGGAGCTTTAGGAATTTTTTTTTTTTTTTCTCCTCCTTTGAACCACTCTTCAGGAGCCTTTAGAGGAGAGAGAACTGGGAGCTAGGAGGTAAATCTCCAGATGCCTCTTTCTAGCTTCTTCCAGAGTACTTCTTCCCTGATAGTTTACAAGTTGAACTGAGGTTTCATTTGGAATAGATTTGGAAGCTTTAAAAAGTTTGTAAATCACAGCTCTAGAACAAATAATAAACTCTGGATACTATTTGGCTGTAAGCAGTTTACTGGGTCAACGTATGACTAAGCTTCTAGCAGTGACATTTTTATAGCACAAGAACTTAGTAGGAGAATAGAAGTTGAAAGAGAAATAATTCTGAAAACAAGAAAACAAAGATAATTTACATAGATAATTCTGTCTCAGTTCCTATGGATTTTTATCTTTGAAAAAGATAGACCAAGGACATAAACATGTAAATAAATATAATACTAATTAAATTGGGGGAGCTCTGGTAGCATAGTGGCTAAGACACTTGCCTGCTAACCAGATGGCTGGTGGTTCAAACTCACCAGCCACTCCTCGGAAGGAAGGTTGGGCAATCCTACTTCCGTAGTGATACTGCCTCGGAAACCCAAGGAGGGGT